TACAATATGTATATATATATATATATATATATATATATATATATATATATACATATATGTGTGTGTATGTAGACATGTAACATTAAGAATAAATTGCATTCATGTTGGTTGATCGGTGAATGGATAGTTTCACAACGCAAGTGCATCGACGAGTGAAATGTGCAGGGCGACGTCGCGCGGCATGCGGCACTTGATTCGACGTCGATCGATCCAGGCGGAAGTAGTTCATTCTGACAAATTTTTCAATTTTCCTCCTCTTTCTTCTCATCTCTGCTTCCTCTTTGTAAATGCAAATCTTTTTGAATTTGATGGAAATTGTTAATAACGCGCGATTGCTTCACAAGACCGATTATATCGAGATATCATTTTTTGTTTTTTTCTTTTCTTTTACTTTTGTTGTACATCTTTTTTTGTATCAAATGACTTATCAATGTACTTTGAGTTATCTCGGAGTATCTTTACGAATAATGATTATGTCTCGAATGGCAGAATTAACGAAGGATAACGATATGGGACGACACGAATCAGGAACTGGCGAAGCCGCACGTCGCGCGATCGTAGAACAGTCCTGGAGGAACGGAACGGTCCGGCAACTAATTTTTGCTCCAGTTTGATCTTCAATCGACAGATTGACTGCGGAATTGATCGTAGCCACGTCTTTATTTCGGCGGGGCCGATGGACGATCGCTTCGGCGATCGAATCGCAGCGAACGTCTACCGGTATCTCTTCCTCTTCCTCTTGCGTGCTTCTCCTCCTACTCCTCCACTCCTCTTCCCTCTTCATGATCTCTGCCTGAGATTTCTTTTGCCGCGGATGAACGACCGACTCCTCTCCTCCTCGATTTGTACGCCCGCTTCCTTCTTCTTCTGTTGCTCTTCCTCCGCTCTGGCCCCGATTACATGATTATGCACTTGCCTTTCTCGGCCCAGGGATTGTTCTTCTTGTCGGGCGCGTGTATCAGTGGGTCATTCCTCTCGTTCTCTTCCACATATTCCCGCATCCTGCCAAGAAGAAGAATAAGAGGGTCAGCTGCGCACCAGTCTCGCGTAATGCTGAAATTACAACCTAGCAACATATGCGTTACTACTCTAGTAGCTTACCTAAGATTATGGCGCAATAAACATGCGATTGTGATTCGTTCTAGTGGAATTAATTTTTCATTACGCGACCCTTTATTTCTTCGTAGGTGCATCTTTTATTTATTCATAACTTACATAACCTACATAAACTAACTAAACTTTTCACGCAAGAGGACGATTAGACAAATCGTCATTTTCAAATATAAATTATAAGTTTCAAAACTTTAGAATATCGTCATAAAAATAATAATAATTATATAATACGTGTACTCCATTCTTTCTATCAAATATATTTAAAATACTTATAAGTTTTTAAAATTATACTCATAAACACAAAAATAATATTTTTTATTTCATTTATCACCAAATTATCCCTGGTAGAGATGTATGCAGTTTTCCTAGAACAGTATCTTTCCAGTTACAGTCTAATATTACTACATTCTCATTAATTGTGTCAATACTGAATAAGGAAATGGACAAAAACATGATAAAGTTTTATTCTATTCATTTTATGAGCGGCTTGCTTATTAATCAATTTAACATCCATTATTTGTTGTGTTTCTGTTCAGTAAATGGATTCAGATTTTACGCAACTTTTGTATGCAACAACTGCAAACAAAGCGTTACATCTTAATTGGGATCCTAAGTAGTTTTCCTTCTCAGTTACTAAGTAGAAGTTGGTATAACTGTTTAGTAACCGCTCAAAGAATGCATGAAATTTCAGAAACCAGAGATATATAATCTATTATTTTTGCATATATATCGGGTTGTCCGAAAAGTTCGTGCCGATGTTGAAGGAAAAGTGAAACGCAGAAAATTTAAATTTTAGTATACATTTATTAAATTATATAGGTTAGTCGGCATGAACTTTCCGGACAACCCAATATATATATATATATATAGAGCTTCTCTAATGAAAGTATTTTCCATTTGGAGACAGGAATTAATGTACACCAAATTATCGATGTACACGTCTTTCGCTCTCGATAATGAATATTTCATTCTCTATATTACGCGTTTTATGGTGAATGCCGGTGCATTGCTCGAAACTTGCCGAAGGCTCGAACCCGGTGTTTTCCAAGATCTTCTGGAGAATGTCTCGCGAGACGTTCATGCACGATACGATTACGATACGTCCGATTTAGTAGATCGCCGATAAATTCGCGCCTCTGTATGTAGAGCGGCCGATGCGAGTCGACCAGCCGGCCAATCGTTCATTTTGCGAGGAAGTCGGTGAAAGGGACTCGGTTCTCGGTTCGCTCGCACGGCCGATTTTGCGTTCAAGGAGAGTCGCGCGCAAAAGCGGCAACGACAACGGCACGAAGCTTTCGAACTTTGTTGCTACTAGATAGTTGCTCGCCAAGCGCAAAATGTCCGTGGAATTTCTTCCTGCGGGATACGAAAGCGCCGGTCGGCCACGTACGAGTGCATTTAACCCTTCACTGCGTTTTATTGCATATAAATGACGGCTGAAAAGCATGTTTAACATTGTCGCTTAAGCCTTCAGCGTCAGAACATGTATGAGTAAATACGCGACATTTGTTTTGAGTGTCAGCTGCAGTGCTTACGCGCACGAATGGCGAGGTCAACGCACACACTGTATAGCTACGTATATTTTTCAATATATTTCTGTAGAGAAGATTTTCTTGATAGTATTAATTCGAATAAAATCGTAAACTAAGTAAATATTTTGTGTAATGAAATGCACTGCAGAATCAAACTGCACCTAATCGTTGTGCGAAATATCTATATTCTTTTAAATTTTTACAATATGAGAAAATATATGGCAGAACAGAAGAAAGTTTAAATCTTAAAATTTAATTATAAAATGAAAAAGTAAAATGTAGTATATACAATGAGAGCAAAAAATATTCGTACAAGGAAATTTGTTATAAAGTCTTATTTGTAGAAAATAAACATTAATTAGCAATTTTATACAATGAGTATATTCTGTTCTAATATAAACAAACGAGCTTAGTATGTATTCCTGATTTAGAAGCTAAATTTCTCGTCTGTACAAATACTTTTTGAGCATTCAAATAATACAATTTTTAATTTCCGCTTATTTTTCGGATGATATATTTTGTATAATTAATAAACATCATTTTGATATATATAATTTTAAAAAACATACAATCTATTTTATTCTTTATGAATAAATTGTTAATTTTCCAACAAGAAATGATCGTTAATTAAATTAAATGTCGAATCGATGTCAAATTAGTGTTAAAATCATCGAATTTATATCGATTCGACATCAATTCGATAATTCATTTCTCGCTGGATAATAACTTACTTTTTAAAAATAAAATTAAAAAAAAAATATTTTCTCTGTACGAATACTTTTTGTACTCACTGTACATTTCTTTTGTTATTTTTTTCCTACATCTATAAAGTATTGTATGAACTGTATAATAAACAAAAGAATATTTTTTTCATATCATATTCCTGAATTCTCTACCATCATAACATTATACGCATAAATTTTATTTGGCTAGCAATAATCATATTTCGTGCTTGATCGGCATTGATTTATCATAGTTCGTGCGGGAATCGCGGACTTTCACTTATCAGAGTCCGTCGCGCAATTTTTAAGTGAGGGTGAATGACCTTCTCCGACACCCGTGTCGTAATGTAATAATAAATCGATTCACGTTTCTGCATCTATTATTTAGCGTCGTTTATATAATGAGCGACAATCAGAAATCAGAGCGATTCTCAGAGTCGCGATGTCAAACGAGAATCGTCGAGCGGATCCGTTGCAGAAATGAAATGAATGCGATTCTGTTCACTTCACGCTCGAATTCACGGTTTGTCTCACTTTCGTGTCTATCTTTATAACCTGGCGAATGGAATTCGCAATTTAATACACGAAGATCGAGTGAAACTATCGGTTGACAAAAATACTAAGGACTTTCTAATATTTCTAGTTAACTAAGTATTCACGCGCTGTTGACATTATATTTATGTCACAAAATTTGAAAGAAAACACGTGCCAATTAATAAGATTAATTCTCTCGAAACCAATTAGTAAAAAGGGACAGAAGAAAATTTAAATCTTAAAATTGAATTATAAAATGAAGAAGTAAAATGTATACATTCCTTTTGATACTTTTTCTCCATCTATAAAATATTATTTCAATTACAATTTATTTTATAAATTAAAAATTCTTGATAATTTATTTATTAATGATCATTAACGCTGCTAAAGTACTGCGAGTAATGAGACTTCCACGGCGTATTGAAAAAACACGACCCACATTGTGTGCCGATGAATGCAACAGGCGTCGGATTCAACCGAGTTTAAAGGAGGTCATCCTAAATTCAGAAACTGAGACGCAACGTCGGCACATATCGTCTCGTCCGCGTCACTGCCATCGTTGTCGATTAAGGACGTTCTCCGAAAAAATCCATTTTCTTTAGATTTTTCTGAAACTTAACAGAATAAGCTTGTTTAGTGTCTTGAACAGATGTGCTTTAAAACTCAATATCCGGAGCGGGATTAAAAATCGAAATATTTCACTTCAAAGTTGAAGCGTTTAAAAAAAAAAAATATATATATACACACACTAAGAAAAATGGTTTGGTTGGATTAAATAATAATACTGATGAAAAACAGACGAATCAGAATTTTCTGATTAAGTTTATTAGAATTCTAGTTGAAATAACTAGAATTCTGATTAATATAATTATTCTGATAAAAATAAGAAGTAGATTTAGTAGATTTTATCAGAAATTTCTGATTCGTCCATTTTCAACCAGAAATTTTTTTCAGTGTATATACATAGGATCCCTATCTAAAGCTTATTCGAAAGTCTTTTTATTCACTGTAAAAAAGTTTTTTTGAAACAATGAGATATACTTGATATCACAAAAAATAATATGAACTTTATCTGAATATGGCTTCTGACTATTCGTTTTTAAAAAATCATTAAACAAAGTAAGTAACAAAATAAGTAAAATCGCTATTTTTTCAACTGGTAGCAGGAGCAAAGGTGGAAGGCATTTCATATTGTATAAAAACTTGTATAAATACATTAACACTTATGGAATATCTTATACTATATAAAAGTGAAATAAATGTTCATAAAAATTTTCATAATGGTGAGCATTAATGTGCTCATTAGGTTGAGTATAACTGCAGTCGGAGAACATCCTTAACGTCGACATTTTGCGCACAGCAATTTTATTTGTCGTGTGTATACGATTGATCTCTTAATTAAACCGGAATTAGATCGTTACAGGGAGAAACTGTCCGTGGCACATGGACGCATCGTTAATGGACGATACGATTCGGCAGGCATGCGGGAAGTAAACGTCGATCTTTTTGTTCCGGTGCGTGGTTCCGCTTGCGGAACGACGCGGAACCGCGGCGCGTTCAGACGTCGACAACGGTCGTTTCCCGCGGCAGTTTTCGACTCTCGAGGCGAGTATCGTGCGCGAAAGCAAAAAATTTCCGCGGTCTCGCGAGACTTCTCGAACAGTGAAAGGCAGCGAGGCACCTGCCTCCACCCCCGCTCCACGCGTCTCCCCCTTTTTTTCTTCTCTTTCTTTTTATCCCTTACCGATCGACCTAATCTCGCGCTCCGATAATACGACGATACAATTTCCACGCCCGCTTCCTGATCCTTCCGTTCCCTTTCGTCTCGTGCGATATTGACGTAATACCGGACCTTGCAAAATACTCGCGATGCAGGTGACCGGAGATGCTTTCAGCAAGCTGTTGATACTTTCGCTCGTTTGCCATCGCATACAAGTTTCGATATTTTTAAGTATTAGTATTGTTAGTGATAATCACAAAAGAAATGATATCCGAAACAGTACTCTGGTAAAAATTTTTCTCAGAATTTTTCATATAATTTTTAAAAATTTCTATATTTTTTTAGAATTTCTATATATTTTTATAACTTTCTCACATTTTTTTATACGAATTGAAACATTTTTCAGAAAATGTACATCTTTTCTCAGAATTTTTCATATATATTAATTATCAAATATCATAAGATAATTCTAAGATATTTCTAAGACTTTTTGTAAATATAATTTCTGATAAAATGTTATAAAATCTAAAAAAATTTAAAAATATTTTTTAAAAATTATGGGATGAAAAAATTTCAAAAAATTTCAGAATTCATTTGTGTGAAAAATTCTGAGAGAAGATGTAAATGTACTTTCCGAATAATTTCTAAGTATTTTTGAAAAATATTCCAATTCGTATAAAAATTATGAGAAAAATTTTCACTAGGGTAATTAATAAAAATAAACAGGAAGGAAAATTTCTTTTTTAGCAAAGCATGTTTATAACGCATAAGTTTCGTTTTACAAACGAATTATTGTAATTTTTTGGATAATATATATTGGATTTAAAATAAGTTGTCTACTAAGGTAAAGAAGTTGTCAATTTCGAGTGCAGTTGTTTTATGTAATTTATAAAACAACAGTACTTTTTCCGTATAGGCTTGATATCTACAAAAGGTCGTTAACATCGCCATTAAATCTATTGAAACGTGAGTTAAATTCGCAGAGCGTTTTGCGAGCATTTAATCTCGCAATAATTCAACCATGCTCGATCATTAGCGAGAGTGTGACATGCGAAGGATATATAATTAACTGGAACCAGACCGACTGAAACGGGAATAATTTTCGCGTAAACTTTTTCCGCACAATTCCCACTTAGAAGTGGCGAAATCGCGAAGACATTACATCGAGAGACGATCGAAACGCAATTGGGGCCAGCTGTGGCACAATTAGATCATCATCGATCATTGAGTCATCATAATCGTCGCGTCAGGTTTTGACTCTCGCTCTCTCATCGCGCTCGCGTACATAATAAATGCGCGTTCCCTGAAAGTAATCGTGTGTGCCGCGAAAACGCGATTAACGCGAACACGCACCATCGTCCAAGGAGATCCTGTCCCTTCACGTAACATGGGGACGCTGTGCACGATTCAGCCTTGACTGTCAGCCAGCAATCCGCGCGAGATGACTTATCTGGGAAAAGGCGCTGCGCTTCGAGGCAAGAAAAATGTGATCGGGAACACCGGAACACACCTACGCCGTAATCTGAAGCGTGCATTTTGATTTGCACGATCGCAGTTTTAACATGTAGCAAAAAACTCCGTTCCACATTTTGCTCATATAATGGATTTTTCAAATTACATTGATCAATTCCTGAAATGATTCCTGAGATGATTCTTTTTTAAAAAAATTAATAAATTTTAAGATAAATTTTAAAATTATGACTTTAATGTCTAAAATATTTTGTTAATTAGCTGTCTCATGTTCTTTTTAATTTTTTATAATTAATAAAATATTTTTTACTTCCATTAGAGAAGCTAAAATAGGAGCTCACTTATTTTATTTTTTCTTTTTCTGTTATATTTCGAAAAAAAGCTACTTGTAGTAATTATGGTTAGTAAATACAAATAAAAAACACATTATTTTCTTTAATTTTTAATAATATTATCTTTCAATTGTAGGAAATACAGTTGAACCTTGAACGATAACAACCTGCGTACGTGATTACGTAGGTTTATACACGAGTCAATTCATCTAAAAAGACATTCTATGATCACGCATCAGCGAAAATTACATCGTCCATTATTAAGGAACTAGAAAGTCACGGCTGTTACCGTTAAATAGCCTTCGCATTATTTACTTTGTACGTAGAGAATACTTGAAGTATTCAAAGAAACTTGTCACGAATAGACACGCCCGTTATGTAAAAATTAAAAATTAAACACTATCTCGAGATCACAAACATAATAATGTTTCCTGTATTTTAAGTATTATTTAAGTTGTATTAAAATCTAGTAATTATTTAGAGATCTAAATATACAAAAAATGTGTGAAAAATTAAAGGAAGTGTCTTATATGTCTAACATAACAAATCAAATATTATGAACATATGGAACAAGTACTTATGAAAACATATATTATTGAATAATATAAAATAATAAATGAAAAATAAACCCAAGTACTTATTTTTTTTATCTTAGTTGCATCTAATAACAAACAAGTGCGAGATGAATTATTCGTTCCGTTTAAACGGGGCAACAATTTAAAAAGAATAAAACTAGCTTCTCGGACTTTCTTAAATAAAATTAAATAATAATTAAATATCTTCTCAATCATGCATTTAAATACAACTCATGAATTTTAATAAAAATAAAAAATGACAGAGCTGTTCTACGTCTACAGAGTTAAAACATTATTGAATATTAATATAAAAAGACAATTGTATTAAATTAAATTTATATGTAAACGAACATATGTATATACAAACAATTGGTTTATAAATATTATGGTGAAAATTTAGAAAATTAATTTAAGACTTGAATATAATGGTAATGAAAATCTCAAGGATATCACAACAAAAAGTAATAAATTTTTAATTTCTGAAGAAAAGCTCTGCTTCAAAAACCTATATGAATCTACAATCGACGGAAATTGCAAGACATTTTCTAGGGCGATCTATGTACGAGAGTGACAGTCTTCTCAAATTTACAGACGTGCGTAAATGATACGTAAGCGGGGAGGAAAACCGATGAATAATTAGCAAATACAGGAAACAACGATAACGACGATGATGAAAATAATGATTCGACTGTGCCACGATGGACTTACGCCGCGATGCTCTTCGACAGGGGCCATCGTTCCATGGACGCCTGGTACTTCATATTCTCGATCTGCTTCTTCAATGCGTCCTTATCCATGGTGGCGAGTACACTGGGATCCATGGTTACAGCCGCACCCCCCTTGTCGCAAATCGGGAACGGGATAGCGCGTGCGCCTACACAGGAAAATCAATAAGGATGGCTTGAGAGTAGCTATCGGACGCTACGTTCGTAACTCGGACGATGGTCTCGTCGGGGTTGAAAGGAAACTCGGCTCCACGAGAGAATGAGCATCCGAGATCTTATCACAGTGATCTACCGATCACCGGCGATAGATTCATTTGTGAAACATGACGAATGCAAACCGATATAAAGAAACGTCAGATGAAACTGCGAAGAATATGCTTGCTATTGCCTTTTGCATACGCAGTTTGCTGATCCATAGTTGAGAGATACATAGAATACAAATGCCCTTTGACCTTTGAGTTGCGACGAGCCTCTTCCACCCTTCCCATTTCAATGTTCTCAATAAGAGATGTTTAAAGAGATGTTCTAGTTATAACTCGAGTCACTTAATTTATATCTTCTCTTAATTTCAACTATTATAATTAATCTAGGACATTATAATAACACTTTCATTTTTTGTTCATATTATATTATTTATCAATCATCCTCTTTATCTTATCCTATTAAAAGTACATTAATTAAAATTTTTTAAAGAATCAACGTATTTTTTTTAAATATAAGTCTTCTTACACATTTTCTAATATACATTATGCATGTTCCATGGTATTTAATATCTCTATTTAATATCCCTAAAGATAATCGTTAGTACAAAAATAGCTCTTATGACCTATAATCACCTTCATTGTAAGATTAATCTAAGATTAACCCCATTAATCGTAAAAAACATGCCTGCGTTGTTACTGACGTTAATTTGATCTTAATAGCATATCTTAGAATGACTATTTAATTATAGATAGTCTTTGATAAAACGCATACTGTTACCACGTCTGATTACGATCTTGCGTTCACGTAATTTATGAGAATTCAGAGAGTAATTTCGCAGAAGAAAGCAACTGCTGCAGTGCATTCGAGATCATCCATTCCTCCGTCTTTTAGAAGAACTCCGCAATGCTGTTTTCCATTATAGTTGTCAGGCTCGTTAGCGATTTTTAGTGTCCATTTTGAGTATCCCGTAGCTTCCAAAGGCTCATCCATAATCGTGTTCCAATCGCCCTCTTCATAGAGATCGTGCACGCCGAGCCATGCCTGATTTATTTTGTTCTCCTCTAAGATGTGCAGCAGCAATTTTTCCTCCGAATTGGAGTTAACAATAGCCAAATGACCTACATCGGGGATTAGGTAGATTTGCGTTAATCCGATAAAGTTACGTAATTTTGCTTTTCGGTTTTAATATACTCTTCATATAAAAGAAAGTTTAATAGAATTCACGTTGAAACATTATTGGCCATAGAAGATGATAAAAAATGACAGAGCAATTCGATGAGCTGAGAGAATCATCAAATAAAATCACTGTTAGAAACTTACCCCCTTCTTCAATACAAATTCTACGAGCTTTGTTCCATGACAACTTGCGAAAATGAAGTTTATGAGCACCTATACCAGGTGTCATAAAGTAATCGCTTCCTGCTTTTTCTATGAGATTGATACCGTCTTGCATTTTCAATTGACGCGGCCCGTAAATGTAAATAATCTGCTGTGCCGGAGACAAATTTCCGTTTGCGTTTGGTAATAATTTGCCTGAAGCTGTAGGAAAATCTTATGAATTTTTTGACATATTTTCCTCTGCAAACGATTACGATGGATTACATATGCATAAGGTAAATTAAATGTTATTAAAAATAAATATCAATTTAACATTCAATTATAATATAATATTTCTTTCTTTCTTTTCTTTAAGTTTCAGATAAATTACCAAAGCGAGATATATTTTGCAATTATTTTCTTATATATTAATTTACTTATCAATCTGTTGATTGCTGTATCAGTTGCAATTGCATTTTCCGATGCCACACGGTATATTATCGCATATAAAAACACTACTAACACACGTCGCAACATGATTATTATACTATTATACGTTGAAAATATAAAATTCTCGAGAACAAATATTACGACAATGATGTGACAATGGATGCACTTATTTATATTATGTGATAAAAACTATACTACCTACTCAGTAAGGAAATAGCGATAATTCTTCTTGATATCACACTGTACACTGTTTTTACTGAATATTTATATTTTATAAATATTCAATAAAAACAAATTGTAATATAAAAATAAATTAATTAATAAAGTTTATTATTTTCTTAAAAATTTATAAAATACGTTGAGTTGCACGTTTTAATTAATTAAAAAATAAATTCTTTTAAATTTAATAAATGTATCTCTTCCCTATATGCGTGTGTGTATACTTTAACACGCACGATGTATAATATTATTTATCAATTCAAACTATTTGAATGTATTAAATTATCGCAACAGGATTCTCACTGATATTCAATTATCAGTATTTCTTGACCATTTATTACAATATCATTAATTAGAATAATCATATATGAGGTATTGCGATTAAAATATCACATAAATTATTCATAAGTTGCCAAATAAAATTGTGAATAATCATATTTAATTTATCCAATACGATTGTTTACAACAAATATTAAATACCTCTTATTTTCATGCTCCTCATTTAATCTATTAAAATTAAGAAATTTATAAAACAATTTATAGCATAGATTGTGAATCGTTGTGAATCGTGAATTCATTTAACGAAAAATTTCATTTGTTCCGTTAATATATATTAATAGATGTTTCACAATCACAGTTAAATAAACGCCGCAATTAAACGAATCTTTCGCAAAACGGAAATATAATGTAACACATGGATGCTATGCGCGCAGGAAATGCAGCGTAATTGCAATAAAATTTAAACATCACTGTAATGTATGATTTACTGCTAACGTAAAGTAACAATAAATTGTTGTATTTTGCAATATAATGATTGCATGATTTTTATATCGTACTCACATTCTTGCGAAGATACGGAAAATTTACAGTTAATTTTTGCGTTCTATTTAATAACATTCATAATTAATCATTAATTATTTGCTTTATGATGCAACAAAACTATTTTGAGATTTTACATAAATTAATCTTTCTATTATCTAATTAAAATTTTTGCATTAAATAATAATAATTATTATTTTATGCTTAAATCGGTTTGCATTCGTCGCTATTAACTTTAATTAGTAAAATGTACAAAAAGAATAAATCGTGAAGAGAGTATGGTACTCACCTAGGCGAAGAACAACGGAATTCTGCAGCGACGTGACTTTAACAGGCTTCGCTTATAGAAGCCTCGGAAAATCCAGGCAATCTAATTTACTGATAATTTCACCACCAATATCGTCGTCAATGCAGTTGCATTCGTTGAAGGGATCCTTACTAAAAAAAATCATGTCACAATGTTATGATGAAATCATATAATTAAAATATATAAGTCACGTAACGGATTG